TCGATGGGGTGGCCGATGTCCGATATTCAGTTTTAAGGCCGATAGGGGGCCGATTATATCGTGCATCCCTAGTAACACTTGTTGGGACTAAAGTCATCAGGGTTTACATTTCTGGCAGATAGGCTACAGTATACAGCAGATGTAGAAAGGTGAGCAGATTGAAAGAGAGTCCCTAATAAAGATGTTTTTATTTTCATCTTTTTAGGAGCACTTTTTTTTTTCAATTATATTTATCTGGTTTAATGTTTGAATAAATTATATAAGTTATGGAAAAACAAATTAAAGGTTGGTTGCAAAGCTTAGCAGGAATCTAAATTGACCATATATCTTTGAAATCCACCAGATTGAATCACTACACTATGAAAACAAAAATGATGAATGATGAAATGATGAATAATATAAATGAATTAATTAGGCTAACTATCATGCAGAATGTCCTGATTTTCATTGCACAGATATTTGAATAAGAATTTAGATAATAAAATGAAGCATAGAAAGATCTGTATTCACATAGTTGTCATTTTAAAAAAAATCCGACTCTGGGTTGTTTTTGTTTGATCAATGATTATTCCAGTAAGAAATGTGTAGTAATCTTCATCCGTCTTCCATGTTATTCTGTCCCTCCATCAGGGTGACACCACGTTCTCTAAACCCATTAGAGGTGCTCAGTTTTATTACATGGACAAATTTCTACTCCTAACATCCGGACCCTCTGTCTACATGTACCTATATAACATCGACATCACACATGATGACATTAAAAGGTAATTATTACTCTTTACAATGCATAGAGGCTTAAAGTGACTTGAAAAAAGTATTCAAATCCCTTGAACTTGCTAAAATTGTTCCCAACACTAACTTCAGTGTGCTTTACTCAGCCTTTATGTGAACGACCCATTCAAAGAGCCTGCATACCTGGAAAAAGGAAACAACACAACCTGTTATTTACATTCCCTTTGCAATTAAAGCAATTGTGTTGCATATAACAGGATTTTACTCCTTTAGACCTAAAAAAATCCCCTGCAATTGTCTCCAGAAGTCACCTTATTTGTAACCGGAGGCTGCATGTGCAGAAATGATACTTTTATATATGCACTCTTGCAAGTGGAAAATAATTTGTTCCTCATCCTGAGCTTAGTCTTGGAAAACTGAGCATTCTTCATGAATGCAGAAAGAAAGTCTGTGGAACCTCAGGATGAGCTGTAGAGATAAGTAGCTAATGGGGACACAAGCATGGGGAGGAAGGTGTTCGGATTAAATGAGACCAAAGTTGGTCTTTTTTTGTAATCACCAAAAACTAACACCCTGAATACATGATTCCAACTGTAAAACATTCTTGCAGCAGAGTCATGCCGTAGTAGTTGTGCTTTTCTTCAAGCATACCCTAAAATACATGCAGAGCTGTGCAGATCAAACAATATTCATGGGTTAGAACAACTTTGATCTGAACCTAATTAATAATCTGAGTCAATACTTAAAAACTGATAGTCAAAAACACTATACAAAGAGAATAAAATTGTTTCTAAATGTGTAAAGCTGGTTCAAGCATACATTAAATTACTTGCAGCTATAATTGCAGGAAAATGTAGTACCAGAAGCTAGAACACCAGAGTGCTGAGTGTCTGTACCTTTTGTTGGATCTCAATTTGAAAAAAGAAAAAAACAATCTTAGGCATACATTTATTTTAGCTTTCTGCTTACTAGCTGCATTGTTGTGGTCTGTTTTACAAAATACAAATAATTTGAATGGAAGTCTGTGGTTAAGGTGCAAAAGGCTATGAAGGGTATGAATACCTACACTTAGCACAGTGCATCAAAAGACAACATAGAAGACAGTTGCAATGTAAGATGTTTTATGATCTGTTAGGATTAAAGTACTATTTTAGGATTTTATTGGGTTTGCAGGCAGCAGATGAAATTCACAAGTTTGCAACTTATGAATATAATTTCACTTGTAATGCAAAAGTTTTATCACTATGTTTATACTCATTAGGAGCATTTCTGATAAATGATGCTAGATGTATAGACTTTAATAACTATTTAGGAACCAGGTTTCATTGCAGCTTAGCTCAGCATTTTGAAGTGCAGACACTCCTTACACTCGTTTAGACAAAACCGCTGCTTTCTGCACACCGGGAGGCTGATCCAACAAAATGATTGACAAGAAATTACTAAATAGTTTTCTGTGGCTTTACATTAACTAGAGATTTGAAATATGTTATTGTATTATGTTGTTGTATTTTTGATAAATGAAATGAAGTAATTGCATTTTAACGGAAATATTTTCATCCTAGATATAAGCAGCGGAGCGTCATCAAATTGGCAAGCTGCTTAACACCGTCAGCCTCGGACATCACAGCCTTGTCTGCGGTCAATGAATTTCACTCATGTATCCTTTTGTAGGTTTTCATAGCACTGGCAGCAGAAAAGGAAAGTCAGACCACGTTGTTGCTGACTGAGTGAGTCTATAGCCTTTTTCTCAGAGAATCTGCTCTGAGAACTTCCATGTAAGCCACAGCAATCTCATAAAGATTTTGCACATACCTTAAGGGCTTCCACTGCAGATTTTAGCATTTAGGTGTCTTTAGATTTTTTTTTTTTTCAGGAATGTCTGCATTCCAGGGCCTTGTTAGTCTTCACAGCAGTTGACTTACTCCAGTAAATTCCCCACACATATATTAAGTAGAAAGGTTTTGGATTTTTACTTTCAGAAACAATTTTATATCGTTGTATTTTCCTTATTTAAACCTAAAGTAAAAATGGATACAATGATGACATCAAAATAATATTTTACTTAGAAACAAACACCAACGTTGTTTTTTTAGCTCCTTTTTTCGCACAATTAGCAAAAAAAAG